CCTTCATGTCCTTTTATTTTATAGCCAATTGGTTACTCCACATAGATTTCTTCAAGATAACCATTTAGAAAAGCTAATTTCACGTCCATTTGAAATATCTTCCACTTATTTTGCACTGCAAGAAAGATAATTAATCTTATGGTTTCTAAACGAGCAACAGAAGCAAATACCTCTTCATAATCGATTCCCGACCGTTGGTTGTAGCCTTTGGCAACCAATCTTGCTTTGTATCTTTCTACTTCTCCTTTAGCGTTCTTCTTTACCTTGTACACCCAATTAACTCCGATTGCTCTCTTTTCTTTGGAAAGAGTTGTCAGCTCCCAGTGTCATTTTTCTCAATAGCCTTAATCTCTTCGTCCATAGCATCTCTCCATCTTTTATTTTGTGTTGTTTCTTCATACTCTATTGGCTCACAATCAGCAAAAAGATAAAAGAGTGCGAGATCATTTTGATTTTCTGTTATCTCATATAGCTCTTGTAGGCTCCTCATCTGTGGCGTCCTTTCACTTGAGCTTTCTCCTTGTGAAAACGATGAAGAAATATCTCCATGAGTAGGTGATAGAGGTGGACTGATAGTCTCTTGCTACTCTCCATTCTCTTATTCTTCTTCATCAAAGAATGGTAAGAAGTCATAGTCTTCTTCTTGGACACCCCAATCTCAAACTCCTTCTTCATCGAACTCGACATCTCTACTTATGATAATCTTTTCCTTATTTGGATTATACAACTTGTAGCCTTTAGAGCAAGAGTCGTAACCGATAAAAACATACATTTCACTCTTATCACCTAGCTTGGACCATTTTTGATCTGGCACATAAGCATATGTAATGCTCCCAAATATTCGTAGATGAGAGATACTGGGCTTTTTTCCACTCCATACTTCTTGTGGTGTCTTATTCCACATACTTTTAGAAGGCGATCGATTAGACAAATACACGGCATAATTAAAAGCTTCGGCCCAAAGTTCTTTGGACAATCTCTTACATTTGAGCATACAGCAGGCATGTTAAGAATGGATCTATTCTTTCGTTCGGGTACTCCATTTTGTTGTGGAGAGTATGGAATCATCAATGGACAACGAATTTCATTCTCCTCACAATATTTCTCAAATTCTTTGGAGGTGAATTTTCCTCCTCTATCTAATCTCATGGCTTTTATGCTATAGCCACTTTCTTTTTCAACAAGAGCTTTAAACTTTTTGAAAGTTTAAAAAACTTTCGATTTTTGTTTGAGAAAATAGACCCAAGTCTTTCTACTAAAATCATCAATAAAAAGAACAAAGTAATTGCTCTTATCGAGAGAGCTTGGATTGATTGGCCTACAAACATCCGAGTGTACAAGTTCTAGCGGATTCTTAGCTCTTGTAGATATTTCTTTAACTTTTCCTCAAATACTTTCCAAGTAAGCATCCGCACAATTTATTGGAGGCAAACCTTTCACCATCTTCTTCTTACTCAACAACTTTAAGCCTCCAAAATTAAGATGTCCAAATCTCAAATGTCAAAGCCAAGATAAATCTTTAAAACAAGTTTTTAAGCATTTAACAACATCATTTTAAATGCTTAACACAAACATTCTATTTCTTGTCATAGAGACTTTGGCAATCAAATTTTATCTTTGATCTCTTATTGAAAGACTATGATCTTTCAAATGAATATCATAGCCATTTTTTAAGAGTTGTCCCAAACTTAAAATGTTATTCTTCATATTGGGCACATAATAGACATTTGAAATAAATAGATGCGTACCATTTTTCAAGCGGATCAAGATTTCACCTTTTTCTTTCACTGGGACCTTGGATTCATCTCCAAATGTAATGTTTCCGCTTACTGATTCATCAAACTTCACAAATATGTTTTTTCTTCCACACATATGGTTGCTTGCTCCTGCATTCAAATACCAAGTATTCTTTTCTCTGCTCTCTTCATCTTTGTAAGCCAACAGTAGAATAGGATCCACTTCACTTTTTCAACATACGTAGTTGGCTTTTCTCCTCAACTTGGTTAGTAATATTTCTACATTTTGAAGCATGATGACCAAGTTTTGACAATTGTAACATTTAAGTTGAGATTTGTCATACCTTGGCCCTTCATTTTGCCTCATACCTTTTCCTCTTTCACGACCTCTGGTGGAAAATGAGCTTTGTCTTCTTTCCTCCTTGTAGAACGCACTTCTTCCTCGATCTCGATCTCGTCCTCGTCCTCGTCCTCGTCCTCGTCCTCGTCCTCTTCCTCTTTGGCTTCTTCTACTGCTGAACCTTCATTCACCCTCGTTCAAAGTGAGCTTTATTTGAAGAGCTTGCTCCAATGACTCTTCTTCCACCTTTTTCTTTAGTATTTCCTCATGGACTTGTAAAGATCCCATGAGTTGATCGACACTCAGACTATCTAGATCTTTAGATTCCTCAATGGCTACAACTATGTAGTCAAATTTAGAATCTAAAGATCTAAGTATCTTCTCAATTACTCGAGTGTAATTCAACTTTTCTCAATTCCTTTTTAATTGATTCACAATAGCCAATACTCTAGAGAAATAATCAGATATTGTTTTCAATTCTTTCATATGTAAAGCGTCAAACTCACTTCGAAGTGTTCGGAGTCGAACCTTTTTCACCTTTTCAACTCCTTTGTGGGAGCTTTGCAAGATCTCCCATACTTTCTTACTTGTAGTAGCTCAAGCTACTTTCTCGAACATGCTTTCATCTAAGGCTTAATAGATGAGGGTGAGCGTCTTCTTGTCCTTCTTCCTTGCATCCTTCAAACTATCCCTTTGTGCTTGGGATAGAGAGACCTCGTCTTCTGGCTCCGTGTAGCATTTCTCTACGATCTCTCATGCATCTTGCGACTCGAGCACCGCTTTCATCCTTATGCTCCAGTTGTCATAGTTATCTTTGTTATGTTGGGGAACTTGAAAAGGAATCATCTCACTTGCCATTTTTCACAAGAACCTTAAGGTTCTGATACCAGTTTGTTGGAGGAAAGTTGGGTTTACTAACTTGGATTGGCTAAGGCTTTTAAGGAGGACAACGCTAATAGAAAAAAGGAAGTAAACAAAATGAAACTTGTATTTCTCAATTTCAAGCCTTACACACTTTTTTTGGCTTGTTACAAAATGGAGGACACTACCCCTTTACATAGTGTTTACATGAAACTTCTAGTCCACACATTTTCTAGAGAATCCTAGACCAAATATTTACATAAGACTTTTAGACCACACATTGGACAAGATATTTTACTAGAATACTCTAGATAGACTCTATAAGACCACATATTTTTCTTGACACATACCACATTTATCACTACATATTTTACTTAGATATTTACATGGATTTTTCTAGTAGATATTTATATAGATTTTTCTAGATAATGTTTCTAGAAATACTAGGCATGTTAGGCTTTTTAATTGATTTGGGGCCTATGGGCAAATTCCTTGAGCCCATATTATTTAGTCCAAAAATCAAGTTTACTACTTAACACAGAGAGCTCACTCTCCAAGAAGAATTTTCAAAAGAAATTCACAAAGTGTGCCGACACACATAATGAGCACTATCTATCAGGAGAATACAGTCGAACACATAATCTGTGTTTCAACAAAAGCTCTAACACCAATACACCGGTCGAAATTCCAACAATAGATCGCTACCAAGATGCTGTAGTTGGAAGAAATCCTACAAAACAGAGTACACGCAAAAAAAAAAAAAAAAAAAAAACCAAGATGATCCTCTTCTGAGAATCCAAAAACCTCCGAAGCATGATCCTCCTCCGAGGATCCAAAACTTTAGCTCATCATTTAAGCAGCCAAAACATAAAGATCTGCACTCTCAAATTAAACAAAAGAAAAAAAAAACACCATCATCCACCACATACCATTCTTTATTCAGACACGCCAAAACGTTTAAAACATTATATCCAACAGTCAGCCCAATTGCCAAGAAATATATATAAACACAAACATGACATGACATATCAAGCCCACTATTTGCATTGCCCAATTACATCAACAACCCAAATCTGTACCTAGCAGTAATTGCCATTCTCAAAAAAAACTGCAAGCCCCCCACAAACTACATTAACCAAGATAGAGGACTTATCTGTTTTTGGAAATTGTCCAGACTCGAGTATAACACACTCAGGTTTGGAAACAAGTACCACTGATTTTTTTTTTCTTAACCTCAACTTCACCAAAAATTCGGTTGTCGTGTTGCCCACGGTTCTTTATAAGTTGCTGCTGCTACGATTTAGAACCAACACCCATAGCCTACTAACCTAGCCCACATATGCAGAATAATGCAAATCCACATTCCCTAAAACTCATTAACACTAAAAGGCCCAACTCTGTTATATACTTTTGGGAAAAAAACATATTTCAGGGAGGAAATCCCCCCATTGGCTACCGAACTTTGCCAAAATCCCCTAGGAGGTCACCGAACTTTATTTCGTCCCTAAATGGTCATCGAACATTGCAAAAATCCCCTAAGAGGTCACCGAACTTCATTTTGCCCCTAAATGATCACTAAACTTTGCAAAAAACCCCTGAGAGGTCACTGAACTTATTGTGCATGGGGTCCCAATTTGCAAAAGTTGAGTGACCTCTTAGGGAATTTCGGCAAAGTTCTATGACCATTTAGGGGCGAAGTGAAGTTCGATGACATCCTAGGGGATTTTGGCAAAGTTCGATGACCATTTAGGGATGAAGTGAAGTTCGGTGACCTCCTAAGGAATTTTGGCAAAGTTCGGTGACCATTTGGAGGATTTCCTCTATTTCAGGTGTATTTGTTTACACCAATTCAAAAGTGATAATGGTTCTTGTTATTCCAGTTCATTTGATTAATGCTTTCGAATTTAATTTGCAGGTGTAGTGTTTGTCGACAGCTTTCCGATTGCTTCAGATAAGGGAAATACTGTAAATCAGTTTTCAACAATTTTAGTTCCAAATTTATTTTTGCAGATTACGAGCGTCTCAACATGGTTCTAATCTGAATTTTGTCATTTGCAGAAAAAATGTATAAGAGCAGAACACACCTGAGATTGCTAAAAGAATGGCAGCCAGTTGACGCTGTCATTCAGAGATTGGAAGGGACAGGTTTTGATCTCGTCCACAGAATAAACATGGACTATCGGACGACAATCGACTTTTTATTAGCACTGATAGATCATTATTCAGTCGACTTGTCATGTTTTATCATTGGGGATCAGAGGATAACCCCAAAATTAGACGATGTCGCCAGAATTACGGGGTTCCCCATTGATGTCTTGCCCGTACTTGGGCGGGATTATAAAGCAAATGAATGCCCCGACGTCTGCAATGAGTTATTGTTGTCGCCGGAGCTTCTCCATCCAAAGAAGAGATGTGATGTAATTCTCAGGAAATTACTACCTTTCAAGAACATTCTCCCCGTTTTAGTTGGGGCCGGGCTTGACCCATACGTTAGGGCATATGTCCTTTACGTCATCGGATGCTTTCTTACTCCCCCTAGAGGTCATTCTTCAGTTCCGTGCATGTACTTGTCCTTGTTGAGAGATGTGGACGCTATTAGAAATTATGCATGGGGAGCTGCATTATTGTGCCAATTGCATCACAGCATGGCAGAATTTAAAAGGGCAATGATTGATGGAAAAAATCCCCAAGTCATGAGTTTTTGTGCCCCTTTTCTTACGGTATGTATTATTTTTATTTATTTCCTTCATTTACATACTTTATATAAGTTAATAAATTATAACTTATATTTTTCATTTGTTTGTAGGTTTTCTTCTATGAACACATCCCTATAATTCCATGCACTCTCTATGATGTGGATATTTATAAAGAGAATTTTGAGGAAAGAGAGTTGTTTTCTATCTTTCCATTAATGATGGGATGGTCTCATGCGGTGGAGCGCAAGTCCAAAAACTCCTATATCAAAAAGAAAAGAGAGGAGTTTGATGTGATGCTTACAAATGAAAATGTAAGTTTATTTTATTTATGTGAATTTTTAGTTACTCTACTCTAATTTTTTTTTTTTTAGTTTTCAATTAACTTTATGTTATTTTCTCTCGTAGATTGTGTGGCAGCCATATGCAAGATTGCCCGACAATTTTCTGCCTCATTATCTTGTTGGGTAGATGGATGTTGCTCTTTCCCGCACAATATTGATATGTTTTGAAAAATTAGCATATCATCAGCCGGACTTGTGCCCACTTAAGTGGAATTTGCCGGTTGATTTTGTTCCTCTCGAACCATCGCTGCCGATAGTCAACAAGTAGCGTACCGCTTCGCAAAAATTTGATTGGATTGTAAGGCACGCGAATTTTGTAAAGATCTGGGATAAGAGGAGATTAAATTTGATTATCAACGGAAATGGTAATTTATTTATTTTATCATTTTTTTACTTTGTTAAATTTTATTTATGTTTTAAACTAAATGTGTTCTTTTTATGTTTGGTAGTAGCGAATGAGAGTGAAGGGCCTTTGGCTTTCAATGGTATTTGTCCTTTTTTTTTCTATATTTTAAATTGTATTTATGTTTTAGATTACTATTATTCTTTTTATGTTTGTAGATGATGAAAATCAAATGCCATCGATGCCCGGAGGAGTTGAAAGTGATTTGGGGGATGACTTTCATGTAGGGGCCAACATCTTCGATGAAGGGCCGAGCCAGGAAACAGAGGTTCGTGAAAGTCACACCGAATATCAAACTCCCATTGGGGACTTTCACGGTCCAAGCCTTGGTACTTCTGGAGGGGCCAGCCCCATTGATGAAAGTCACAATGAAGAAACTCCTACCGAACAGCATGAAGCAAGCCCAAATTTTGCCGTGGACGAGGATGGCATGAGGCGTGGCAAGAGGGTGAAGATAACCCCTTCATTACTTGGTTCATTTGAAGTTGATTCAGCCATCCATCGAATTCACAGACGGAATAATTGAATGTGCGGAAGAGATAATCGTAACTGTTATTTCATCTTTTTATTCTACATCACATCTTCTCTTATGGGATTTCTTCTATAGATGTTTTGTCTTTTTTGTAAAATTTTGAAGGTTATAATTTAATTAGAATGATGCCTTTTGATTTATATGAAAACACTAGGTGATGAAGGTTAATAATACAGTGTAGGAGAAACTAAACACAATTCCATTTTGTCTACACAAATGAGGACATTGCAATTGTTTTCAGATTTTGTAATTCTGGCTGATATTTGCGTGCATTCTTCTGGCTGATATTTGCATTCATTCTGCTGGCTGATAATGTTTAAGTTACAATGATATGCAGCTTTAGAGTTTCTCCAGGTGGTGCTAATGTTTGTATAGCAAAGTTGGGGGATTTCTCTGCTTTTATTGGAAATGTACATTTTTTCCTTTACCTTGTCTTATTCAAGAACTTTATTTTATTATCATAAACAACAATGTTCCTTGAAAATATGTTGTTTTGCTTCCGTCAAATGAAGTGCGCAGATTGGTGAAGCAGCTTGTCAGGTTTTACTTTTATGTATGGATAAAATGACGTGGCTCTGAATTCTTTTTCATTTACTTATGATTTCATCTTTAATGTTTAGGAAATGGAAGGAAACTGTGGATGAGTGGGTTAAGGTGAACAAACCTGAAGCATCTTCACACCTCATCGGTAGATAGTCCAATATCTGTTATTGCTTTTCATTTTCACTCTATCTTGCATATACTACATGCATTAAAAACAGTTGAATGAGAGTAATGAATTGTGAGTCTAGAAGAGGTTTGTATATTGATAACTGTGGTGGTGGCAGTGGCAGTGGCAACAGCTGATGGGGATTCACCTCAGCAGAACATGTCCAAAAATGAACAAAATGGCCATCACCGGGTGAAAACCAAATGTTGTTCCAACCAATTTGTTTTCCTATTAAAAAAGAAAGATTGAAAAAAGAAAGTAAAGGAAGAAGCAAATTTGGTATGAATGCAGTTTAAAAATTCTGATGTTCTGATTTTACAGGTGCCAGATTTCGGGTACTCTCCAAATCCACGGAGAGAATGTCTTAATCAGATTCTGAAATTTGTGGTTGGTCAGTGTTTTTTGTTGCTTTCTTTATGTTGTGCATTTAGATGACATTATTCTCATGTTTTGTCTGTTAGATGTGTGTGGTCTGGTGCAGAAAGGAACATCTCAAAATATGAACCAAAGCCTAGACCACCTCAATCTGTCCCTCGTAGAGAAACTCCATCCAGACGACCACAATCAGTTCCTAAATCTGCTTCTGCTCCTCCTATACTGACTTCTGAACTGAACTTTTTATACATACAAATGCACATTACGCATCATTGATTTGTGTGCGTAAATGGATGGTTGTGCTTGTTAAAAATTTGTTGGTTCATCTTTTAAACACTCGATTATCATTTTAATGCTTTGTTCACAAAAATTTTTATGGTGCATTATGTTGATACTTGGCATTATGTTTATGTAATTCTTAATGTTTTAAGAGAAATTGGTGAAGGCGTGGTTTATCATTTACTTGTTCTGAAGCTTCCTTTTTGTTTTTGCTCCTTTTTTTTTGTGTTGCTCAATTGGGAGAACCATACGTGTGGTTCTGGAGTTCAAAATATTCACATATATACGCTTTTTTTTTTTTGCTTTGTTGAATATGAGAACCATACGTGTGGTTCTGGAATATATACATATATATACTTTTTCAACAAAGTTTAAATTTATTAGAAAAATTAAAAATTGCGAACAAATCCTAAATAAATTATTTATTATTATTTGAAAATTGCAAACAAACCCCATATTTTCTTGGGAGAGTGTCCGAGTTAATTTTAAATCAAAACGTCCTTTCAAGATTGGCGTTGAATTTCAAGTCATCACGTTATAAAATATCTCACGTACAAGAATTTATTTTGGGGGTAGATGCGAAGAGCTAGATTTTATCTTTGTAAAAAAAAGAAATAATAATAATAATAAATAAATAAATAAAAAGGCTTAATTGTGCTTATGCACGGCCTTGTCCTTTCAGGATTAACGTTGAATTTCAAGACACATACTTTTCGCACGTTCGTAAAATATGTTTTGTACTAAAGAGTCTAATTAAATTTATTAAAAATATTTTTAAAAAAATAAAAATAAAAATTGCAAACGAACCCCAAAGTAAAGGTATTAGGCTGAGAATAAAACATAAGTGCTCGAGTTAACTTTAAATCAAAACGCCCTTTTGGGATTGACGTTGAATTTCAAGTCACATTCCTTTTGCATGTTCAGTGCTCGAGTTAACTTTAAATCAAAACGCCCTTTTGGGATTGACGTTGAATTTCAGGTCACATTCCTTTTGCATGTTCATAAAATATGTTATGTACTAGAATTTAATTTCGTGGTGGATGCGAAGAGCTATATTTTATCTTTGTAATTTATAATTTAAAAAAAAAAAAGAAAAAAGGGCTTAACAATGGGTACGCACCGGCCTGCAAGTCGTGCGTACGCAACTCTAGCAGATTGGCTTACCGCAGCCAATCTACTTTGGATGTGCGTACGCACTTTGAAGGCCATGCGTACGCACAGCCCATCCGGGAGGCGAGAAGAACCTTACGTTGGGTTCTCTAATTTCCATTTTTATTAAACATATTTTTCCCCAATGAAATTTCTAATAATTTATTTCTAATGCATTTAATTTATTTATTAAAATTTTAAAATTTAACTATTCTATGACTTGCGATCATGAAAATAAAAATTGTTTACTTAGATAGTTAAGGAACTAAATATGGTCATTCTTTTTCATTTTCTTTCAATTGAAAAATAGCAAATTTCCATTTTTTATTTATTTTTAAAAATATAAATTTCTGTATTTTTCATTTCAAATCGAAGTGGCTTACACAAATCTTTTTTGTCGATAACCTCAAACCAATCAATCGAATCGCACATGCGGCTCTCCCATATCCATTTTCCTACAAACAATTGTTCAAAAATTTATTTCAAGAAAATATGGTGTCTCTATGACGTAAGGCAAACTTAAAATGACATTTCAGCAGGAAATGACATTTCAAGACAGCTAGAATTATCTTCCATTATTTATATAATTCACAAGCCAAAGAATTGACTTTCCCAATAACTTTTTCAACAAAAAAGTGCGTTGTCATTTCAAACAGCTTTTAGGCTTTCAAAACCTCTCCCAAACTAACAATAATTTACACAATTTATTTTCATGTTTTATAGCTATGAACATATATTTTATTAGTAATGTTCTTGAAAATTACGAATTAGTTAAGGGAAAAAATTGTGTAATTAATTATTTATCAATAATCTTTCATTTGAAAACAAAATAGAATATAATGAAAACACAGTTTTATTCAACACAACATACAGAACATGTCATATACCTAAAATACCTACTTTCAATAAGTCATTTTAAAGAACTGATTCGATTTCTATAATCGATTTAAATTATGGAAAAAAAAAGAAAGAAGAAATGGCCGAGAAATTAAATCCCTGAAGCATACATTCGGTAGAAAATATTTATTTGTTGATAATGAATCGGTCCAAATTTTTTGTTTATGTACTTTAAAATGAAGTAAAAATGATTTCTCAACTACAGTATTTATTATAATTTTTATTTATTTAAAAATATGACGAACAAATAAGTTCTTTTATATATTTTTAACAGATCTTTTTAACGAAAATCATCGTCAAAGACGGGATATGTTAATTAATAGAAGTTTGATGACAATAATGTGATGAAAAAAGTTGAAAACATAATTTCTATAATAAATAATATTAGAAATCTTGAATTCAATAAATATGTGGTGTAAGAAATAATTAATAACAAATGCGGTATGAATGTAATTAACCTATCTTTATTCTCTTTTCGGTCAATCGCCATTTCCATATGGTCCAATTTCCCAAAAATTATTTTTTAACATTGTTGACCAGTTATTTTTTAACGTTATGTAACCAATATTGAAAATTTGTGTCCTCAATTGAAATTGCCTGCTTTTGAAATGGAAAGAAATGGTTAGCAACTGCCTTCCCTCAATTACCAGCCAGCATCGTCGACTGGTCTTCAACACCCAAAAAATACATAATCTCAATACAAATAAATAAACAAAAAACATTCCCACAAAACGAACAATCCATGCAGGCCTAAAAAGGAAATACAAAAAACTATAGAACAAACAAACCTGTCAATGTTAAATACTACAAAATGAAAAAACTACAAAAACACATTAATCATTAATCTAATGTGTTTTTGTCATTTTTTCGTAACAAAAACTGGACCAAATATCATCATCCCCCTTCAAGCCTACAACTGCATATAAATTTACTTATATACAGGATTGAGCTTCAAGTCAGTTCCTAGAACAAACCTGTCAATGACAACGTATTTTTTTTCCAGAGTCGGACGCGGAGGTGAAGGTGCGGGTGGAGTCGGACGTGGAGTTGAAGGCGGCGTTGGACAAGGAGGTGCCGAAACGGGGAGCATATGTCGTTGCTCTTTCAGTGCACGTACGATGGACGAAATCATGATGATGGATATCATGAGGACCACCAGGATCAGATAACCGTAAGCCATTGTCTACCAAAAAAAAAATAATAAAATTATATATATATATATATTAGAAAGAAAAAAAAAAGAGAAACAAAAAAAGAAAAAAAAATGGAAACAAAATAAACTTACCAAAAATGGGGAAACAGAAGAAGAAGAAGAGAAACAATAAAAGAAGAAAAAATGGAAACAAAATAAACTTACCAAAAATGGGGAAACAAAATAAACTTACCGGTTCTCTGTCTTTTGAAAATGCTTCGTTTGATGAGGAAGGATTTGTTTTAACCATTCTGCAAACAGCTCTAGAGGCTGACTGACAGGGATGTGACGTGCAAGAACCGCACGTGTGGTTCTCTTTTTATCTTTCTTAAAATTTTTATTTTTTCTGGCTCGCAATTTTGAATTCTAAGAAACAAAGCAATTGGACTATATGCTTGGACTCGTTCTTAAAATATTTATTTCTTGTAGCTCGCATTTTTGGATTCAAAGTTAAATGTCCCCATAACACTTTCCTATTCCTATGACATATTTGACATATTTGATGCATGGAATTGGCTAAGCATTTCATTTGAACAAATTTATGATCAAAATAGATGGGTTTATTTAAACTTGTTCTCCCATGCTTTCGCTTGAGTTGTGATCAGTGATTCAGATAGAGGGAAATGAACCGATGAGTTTTAGGATTGTGAACGGATTTTGAGTGCAGTTATTCATCGCAAGCAATCATAATACTGAAGAAAAACTATACTATTTTAATTACAATGTAATGTCACCAGAAAAACTATATAATATTTAAAAGCTCTATATTTCAATTCTAAACGAAGCATGGCTACTTGTCTTCTCTTTCTCTTCTGCTTTTCTGAAGAAACGCCGAATGTGAAGAAAATATCACCACCTCCAATGAGGCAAAGATAAAAACGAGGCAGCAAAAATTTCACTATCAACCATGAACAAAGCTAGCACTGAGAATATAGTTATAAATGTGTCAATAATTATAATTACAATCTTGGATATGGCTCAATATGTATCATGTAAATGGGAATCATTGGGTTTCACTATTTAACAAGAAAATAAGTTGAGTAACATGAAGGAATTAGTTATATATTTGTCGAATTAAAAGAGTACAATTTTCCAAGTAAAAAGATCCAGAAAAGACTTGCGACCATGGCATAGTGAAAAATATATGAATTGGTACTTACAATGCCTCTGCAACAGTTCTACTCTAGGTTAGTATTGCATAACAGCACTTGTAAGATCTCAGATTGAGCCATGACTATACACAACAATCAACTTGAACTGGAAAAGATCAGTGCAAGCAAGGTATAAAGTGGAAGAGTATATATCTTGGAAATTGGGGAAGGCCATATATCCTCCTGAAATGATCACTGGACTGGAAACTCTTCCTTGGCTGTAGCACATCCACATCTGCAACGCTCAACACTGAGAATATAGTTATAAATGTGTCATAAAGTAAAATTACAATCTTGGATATGGCTCAACATGTATCATGTAAGTGGGAATCATTGGGTTTCACTAATTAACAAGAAAATAAGTTGAGTAACATGAAGGAATTAGTTATATATTTATCGAATTAAAAGAGTACAACTTTCCAAGTAAAAAGATCCAGAAAAGACTTGCGACCATGGCATAGTGAAAAATATATGAATTGGTACTTCCAATGCCTCTGCAACATGTGTATGCCCTGCAACAGTTCTACTCTAGGTTAGTATTGCATAACAGCACTTGTAAGATCTCAGATTGAGCCATGACTACACACAACAATCACAGATTTGTGAATTTTGGGCACCTG